TGAATTGCTGTATCACGTCCTAATGATTAGAACTATAGAATGGTATAAACTTATCAGAAACCTTTAAACATCCTAATAGAACAATAAATAAGGGCGCTATTATAATTGTCACAAGGAAGTTAACAATAGCTTAATCATGGGACACCGGATAAATCACTTATCCGGCACTTCGAGCCGAATAACTACTGCTACCTATAAGGTAGCTAATAATATTGGGAATCAAATTTGATTTGTGATTCGGAGCTCCTGCAGAGCCCTAAATCAACCAATGAAATTTGATTTTCCCAATATAATAGTTATTCGGCACTTTGTGCCAAATAACTATTAATTATATTTATGTATTTATTAATTTTCAGTTTACTATAAAATTATTTAAAATTTTATTAATTGCTTTGCAAAAACCCATGATTTATTATAACATAGTTAAGTTATTATCAATAAATTATGATAATATAAAACTAATATATGATGATATAATATCTAACAATTTTATAATATAAACATGAAATTATTAATAACTTAATTTTTTTGAAATTGTTAATATATTATTAATTAATAGTGAATATAATTTGTATTAAATAGTACTTAATGATATATTATATTTATTGACTAATAAAGATTGTAATAAATTTTTATTGTATTATATAAATAAAAATGTTTTATAATATTAAATTTCATTATATTAAAAATAATTAATTTTAATTAATTTTTTTTATATAATAAAAATAATAATAAAAAATTTATAATATTAAAGTATAAAATAAAAATAACAATTATTATAATTTAATATTTAAAATCATAGTTACGCCTATTATGAAAATATCATTATTTTGAAAATATTTTCTAATACTCTAATATTTTTATAATAATAAAGCTCTTAATATAGTATTTATTATTAAACAATTAAAAGTAATCTATTAAAAATATTATACCCTATCGCACTAAGTGTGACTTGTGATACAGAATATCGTAATTTCCCTAATGATAAAAATAATTTTTTTTCTCTGGGATATTTTTAGACTGTTATTTTCATAGTAATAAACTTTTTCATAAACTTTAAATTATTTTGTTTATTATAGTTATATAAATTTACAATATTGCTGATATTATCTATTTTATCTATTCTAGTGCTTTAAAAATAACCTCTACTTTAACATTATTGCAATTTTTAATATTAAAATTTTCAATATTAACTTGTGAAATTTTTGACGAAACATTTATTAAATCTTCTTTTATTTCAAATGAATGTTGTTGTTGTTGAAATAATCGAGAAGCAGTAATAAAACCTAAAATATGTAACTTTTAGATTAGAAGTAAAAAAAAATAAGTACAGCAATATTATGGTACCTTGATTTTCAGATGTAATTTCCGTTAAAGTATTTCATTTTTTTGTAGGAAAATTATTAGAAGAAATTTTGATAGGATCATCAATATTTCTTTTTTGTGGAATAAGAAGTGAAACATTATTTTTCTTTGTTAAATAGTTGAAGTTGAATATGAAGAAATGCCAGCAAGTGTTCTGTGTCCTGTAATATCCATCTGTTTTACATGAGATATACCACGTAACATCCATAAAGAATTCCAATTAAACGCATTGAATGATTGACAAGATTTCGTCTCTTTGCATCAATTTTACAATCAGCAATAATATTTTTGAGCATATTATCATGAGAATGTTTTCCAAGTGTAGAATCATAGAACTAATTACTATGATATATTTTTTGTGAAGTATTAATCCTTAAAAAAAACTCAGTAGTTTTACAATCTTTTGGTCTTTTAGATTGAT